GCCCAGGATCCGAACCTGGGCTGCCAGCAGCGGAGTGCACACACTTAACCGCTAAGCCACGGGGCCGGCCCCATATATTTTGAATTTAAATATGCTCATTATATAAAAATTTTAAAATATTTTTAAAAAGTAGAAGGAAGAAAAATTGTCTTGTTGTCATCCAGAGATAGCCACTGTTTAATTTTTATTTATTTCTTCTGAGTACTTTTTTGTGCATGAGTGTATTGGGATAGGGGCTTCCACTTCAGTTCCTTCCAATTTGTTGTCTATATGTAGCCAGTTATCTTCTTAAAACCCATGTCACTCTTTCTTTCTTTCTTTTTTTTTTTGTGAGGAAGATCAGCCCTGAGCTAACATCCACGCCAATCCTCCTCTTTTTGCCGAGGAAGATTGGCCCTGAGCTAACATCTATTGCCAATCCTCCTTTTTTTCCCTTTTTCTCCCCAAAGCCCCAGTAGGTAGTTGTATGTCGTAGTTACACATCCTTCTAGTTGCTGTATGTGGGACGCGGCCTCAGCATGGCCGGACAAGTGGTGCATCGGTGCGCACCCGGGATCCGAACCCAGGCCACCAGTAGCAGAGCATGCACACTTAACCGCTAAGCCACGGGGCCGGCCCCCCCATGTCACTCTTTTGATCCAATGATTTCCAGCTGTTCTTGAATACAAGGTCTTGTATGATCTAGCTTCTGCCTGCCTCTCTACACCCCCAAACTTAACTCCAGTCACACTGGCCTCTTTTAGCATATAAAGCTCTTTCTGCCTCATGGCCTTTGCACTTACTGCTTCCTCTGCTTGGAATGACCTTCCCCAACTCTTCTGTAGCTAACCTCTCCTCATTCTTTAGTGCTCAGTTCAAATGTTTCCGCCTCAAAAAGGCCTTTGCTTACAAATAGATCTACTCTTGTTCTCTATCTCATCACTCTCTTTCCTTCCTAGGGCTTCTTAGGATCAGAGGTTAGCTTGTTTGATTATTTTTTTATTGACTTATTGCCTGTTTCCCTCTAATAGAATGTAAATTTCATCAGTGATGATGTTTGTCTTGTTCACTGCAGCATCCCCAGTGCCTGGCACAGAATATGCCACATGGTAGATGCTCAGTTCAATATTCATTGAATAAATGTAAGTCAGCTCATGTCCCTTCTCTGCTCAAAACCCTCCAGTGGCTAACTCTCCAATGCCTTACCATCTCACACAGAATAAAATCCAGAATTCTTATACTATTCTGTAAGTTGCTGTGCCGTCTGGCCCCATCCTCATCTATCTCCTATTTCTTTTGCTCTTGTTTACTTTGCTCCAGCCGACCTATCCTTCTTGTTCCTCAGAAACACCACACACACTCCCTTCTCTTTGCACTTGCTCTTCTCTCTGCCTGGAATGCTTTTCTCCCAGTTATCTACATGGTTCAATTTCTCATTTCAACATTAGTGATGTCTTCCTTGACCATTCTAAAATAGCACTTCCTGTCCTTTTCTCCTGCATTTTTCTTCATCATAGCATGTATCACCATTTGATACATAATAAGTTTTACTTCTATGTTTGTTATTTTACATTCCTCCAACTAGAATATCACCTCCATGAGGAAGGAAGTTATCTTTTGTTCACTGCTTATATCCCCAGTGCCAGTCATAGTGCCTTACCCATAAGTATCATAGTCATAGCCAGTTCCTGGCTCATAATCGACACTCAGTGTTTGTTGACTGAATGAATGAATGAAGGTTATATCAGCAAATGAAAGATGTTATACAGCTTTGTGTATGTATTGCTGTGTTTACTGTAAATAGGTTGTAGAACCTGTTGTTTGCGTATCTCAGTGTATTTTTATGAAGAGCCATAGAAGAAATTTCTTTCTGCCTCAGTCCTAGGAACAGTTGTCCTCCTTCTGCATGGCTATTTGCTTCTTATCTTATGGGCCATGTGAATCATATTATACGGGGCATTGTGTGTACCTCTGCATTAGCCCTGAGAAAGTTCAGAGCCCGGCTCCATGGCCTACTTCAAGCAAATGATGGTTATGCATTCTGCATGCTAACCAAATTCTTAACTTCATTTATCTTTTCTACCTTCATTTTCTAATTTGTCCCACTTTCTTCACTATTTATTTTAAATTATATTTCTTTTTCTGGTATGGTTTTTGCCAACTACCTTACTTTTTTTTCCTTAATAAGGTAAGATATCAAAAAATAAAAATTTTAAATAGTATTAAATGGTATACCTCAGCTTTGCATCCAACTTTTTCACTTAGCAGACTAGCACATTTTCCTACCTTATAAATTCCTAGGATACTTGATCCCTAAAGGTTATATTCATAGAGTGGCTGTACCATAGTTCTCTTTACTATTGGGAAATTATTTCCTATATGTGGTCTTTAAAAACAGTGCTAGAATGAACATCTTTATATACAAAGCTTTTTCTTTTATCAGCTTGCTTACTTAGGTTAGAATTTGCCCTATTTAATACCATCTGCTGGATATATTGTATCTACACGTGTTAAATGTTAATCTTAAAGAGATCCAAGGGCTGAATGTGACCCTTGCGCTTCTCTTGAGTAGGAGGTGGAAGTGGAACTACTTCTCAAGAACCTAAATCTCAGGCACTAAATGCACCTGTATTCTAATTGCATTTTCTTTTTCTTCCTAACTAGCTTCCACTGCAATTCCAGAGACTTGGACACCTAGTGGCTCTGATGGCGCTACTGTGTGGGGACCCCCTGAAGGAGGTGGCCAAGGAGGCTGCAGAGGGCATGCACTACCTGCTGCATATCACCCTGAGGCTGAAGTGTAAGGCACTGCTGAATGCAGCAAGGCCCTGAATAAATCCTCTAGCACAACGCAAGCACCAGTCCTCGTTGTGCCCTCACTGCCCACGTTCTAAAAAGACTTTTGACAGGAGTTCATAAATAGAAGGGTACATAGTCCATAGGCAGAGATGAAGCTACACTGACTTAATAATTAGAATCGTAACAGTGGATCAGACCCATCAGTATCAGCCATCTGCATGGCCATGGGATTGGCGTAGCTAAACACGTGGACAAACTGGAGTGATTACTTTGGTGAGAAGTGGAAGAAGTTCTTGCCATCATTTGGGCCTTGATTTATGTATTTATCCCATAAATGTTTACTGAGTACTTACTCAGGATCTAACAGTAATCAGCATATAGTCTAATGGAGGAGTCAGACAATCAAAGAATCAACAAATAACTCTGTTATAAACTAAGATAACTGCTATGAAGGGGAATTACAGAGGCCATGAGTAAGAATCAAATCTAGTTGTGGGGTTCAGAAAAGGCCTCTCTTAAGATAACCTGAAAAATAAAGAACATTAGTCAGGTGAAGAGGTAAGAAACGCATATTAGGCAGAGGAAACAGCATGAGCAAGGACCTTCAGGAGGTGTGAGCTTGAGGAGTCTGAAAAATAGAATGGGGGCCCTTTGGTCGAGGAATGAATCATTGATCCCCCCAGTCAGAAGAGACTTCAGAAGATATCTAACTCAGCATGCCCCCAATGTTTGAGACTCAGTCTACTCTATCCCCACCAAGTAGTTGCCCTGCCTGGGCTTGCTCATCCCAAGGATGAGGAAGCTGTATGCTTTCCAAAGCAGCAGTCTCATCTCTAGGCAGCTCTGAGTATGAGCAATGTCCACCAAGACATATAGCCAAGGAAATACAACTGATTATTTATTCAACAAATGTTTATGAAGCACTCATTATTCTAGGGATGCACTGGTGAACAAGACATACAAAGTCCTTTCCCCAAAGAGCTTATTTTCTAGTTGGAGAGATAGTATCCTCAACCAAGGGCTCAAAGACTTCCCATAGATAAATTTCCAGCCACCATGAGTCACAATAAAACGTGAGAAAACTAAGGCACTGTGAGGGAGTGTTGGCAGATTCGATCAGCAGCAAAACTAGACACACAAAGAGTTCTGATATCAGAATTATCAGACACGGTGCAGAATTGTGCAGTTTTTTGTGGGGACCGGTGCTTCGTAGGAAGATCCCTCAAAAGTCCTCACCAATGAGGGAACGGTTTAGCTTGCCTTGGTTGTACTCCCAAATCACTCAAAAGCTCTGATCTTAGAAAAAACTCTTTTCTTTTTCTTTCAGCCCTTTTTATATATTGCTCAACAAAAGAGGGGAAACAAATCAGCCTTCAGATTAACACACACTCCTTCCCCAGTCATTTTTATTCAAGTTTGAAAAAGACAAGAAGAGTGAGATCTTCAACCTGAAGATCAACCAGACTTGCAAAATCAAGAAGAAAGAAATAAGCTAGGGGCTGGCCCCGTGGCTTAGCGGTTAAGTGAGCACGCTCCACTGCTGGCGGCCTGGGTTCAGATCCCGGGCACGCAGCGATGCACCGCTTGTCTGGCCATGCTGAGGCGGCGTCCCACGTACAGCACTAGAAGGATGTGCAACTGTGACATACAACTATCTACTGGGGCTTTGGGGAGAAAAAGGGAAAAAAAAAAAAA